CGAGAAACGTCCTGGGATTTTTAATGACCACAGAGAGTCAGGACCTCGGTTTTACGTCTCATCCGAAGGACGGCGCCTGTTTACAGTATAGTGTCCCCATCACTATACTGCGGCTTTAGGACCCACACAGACCGCAGGGTTAGCGCCCCCTGCTGGCCCCACTAACACCTCTTCCAGCAGCAACCTTAGTTTTTTCCAGGAGGTCTGCTAGGTAGGACTGTGGATACCTAAGCAGAGTCAGAAGATAGCAACTAAGGAAAACTGTCGGCTGAAGTTCAAGGCCAGGGATTTGCAAAGAAGAAGACAGGTAATAGGGAAAACAGCAGTAAGTGAGAGATGTGAAGTAACAAATAGTGCTTCTACCAGGTCATTACTTGCCTGTCTGACAGGACGAGGCTGACGAAATCCCTAAAAGAAGTGAGCAGGACCTCCTAGAGCTGAAGCAGAACTCTTGAGAATTGCGTTTTGAATAAAGCAGATGATGTCACCCTTTCACGGGACTTTCTTTTAATTTTCAAGCTGTGGCCGAACCACTGATACTAAGTATGGCTTCAAGCTGCCCCAATTTCCTTGACAAACATATCTCATAATTTGCACAGAGTAATTTTCCCTTGAAACAGCCAATGGTATAATGTCTCTTCCTTTTCTAAGGATTTTTTTCTTTGTATAAGAACCGACTCTTCTTGTCTTGTCCAGTTTATTATACGGTCATTTCTCAGTAGTTCTCCATGACTTGAAATGTTCAATCATGTATCAACTACAGATATACATGATCTATGTGTTGGCTATAAAATATTTCAATCACTAGAACAGTATGAGTCTGAGTAGCAGAGAGAGCTGTAAGAGGCAGAAGGTTTTTCAGGGTAAAACAAGTGACAGCAAGTGATCCAAAGCAGTAAGCGGTATAATCCTGAGGGGCAATAGGTAAGGCAGGGATACAGCAGCAGAATCATTGGCACAATACAAACAACACTGAGAAAGGACTTTGTGGCCTTGCTCTTAAACTTCAGTTATTAACTCCAGTTAAAATCACAAAATGGACTTTATACTTAGACAATCTCTTATTTTTTATTAATACAATTTTGCACAAGGAAAGAACATTGGCTTTTACATTTTGAAATATTTTACATTTATTTTAATATATAAAACAGCAAGTGCTTAAAAATACAGTGATAACAGATTAAAATATTAAATATCAAACTCATTCATAAACTACTGACTGATCATTTTTTTAACATTAATAGCTAATTGTTACAATAATACCATACTTCCAGTACACCAGTGTACCAGGATAATTAATTTAAATGAAATAGATATATAGAAAGTGCCATTTTGTCATAGTAAAACACTTCTATGGATTAAAGCAATAAACACAGCAATGATGCAGAGGCAACGCATTTAATCTCCAACAAGCCATCATTCTTCATTTACCAATCATTTTGATACCATATTACGGTTGTTTAGGTTGATGTTTTTTTTTCATGTCATTTGATGGGAAGTTTGTCACAGTACTTGTTCACCTTATTCTAGGAATAATTAACACACACAAACTAAAAATAGTGAAGACTCATTTAGTTAGGTACAAGATTGATACTTCCACAAATCTTTAAAATTTGATGAATTCCATTCTTGGGATTAAAATGATACATACATGGTAATAGAAGGAAATATACATATGTTTAAGCACCATAAAAAATTGAATAATGGACATGTTGTAAAGAGGGACTATGCACTGACATTATTTTCCATGCACTGGAAATAGAAATGTTTATTTCAAAACTAAATCTGCTTAAGGTATCCTTACTAAGGCACATACACTCAGCTTTGGTGCAGCATGTTGAGAGACAAAGAGGCTAAAAAATGTAACTGTGTACCACAAGAGTAATTCAAAGTGCACTTTCACCAACACCCTGACCGAGTGGGTAAGTCATAAGCTTCACAATCTGTTAATGATTCAGGAGTTATTGGACCTTTTTAGTGGCATATTTGATTTACTCCTGAGCTATTTGGACCGCAAAGCCTAATAAAGCATTACTTTGCTCCACTACCACCCTTTCTGACAAATTTATAAAGTCGCCACGAATTGTTTCCAACAGGCTTTTAATCACCACTTCAGGCAGGCCTACTTCATTTCTCTCAGTTAAAAGTGGCCGGGGCCACAAGTTAATGAAAACAGGTGTACACATGGCTAAACACTGAACAGAATGGAAAACGACAGAGAAGAAGTAACGATCAAATGTAACAGTCAGAAACAGCCCAACACAGAAGTGCTAAGTGAGAAGTCATTATAACAGCTGTAGGGTATTTACGTATCCAATTTTAATCGATGGAAAAAACACATTTGCAAAAATATCACCTAACATGAAAGGCTGTTATATTTGCCAGAAAGGGTATATTTTAATGTTATTTTAGGGTTAACTTGGCACTGACACTTCTCAACCCAGTTTAGATTAGATTAGATTAGATAAGACTTTATTGATCCCGAAGGAAAATTGATGATAGTTTCCAAATATGGAAAGTATTATGCCCACCTGAATGCATATATTACCAAACTAATATAATCTATTGTTGCAACAGCATATCATCAATGCATGTTTGACAGGTTCAGCCACATAAATTTAAAGCTGCCTTTACAAAAATCACTGTACATGATATTGTTACCATGGATACCATGAACACGGACTGCTCTTCCCTCAAATTTCATCAGAGAAAGACCACATAATTTTCAGGAATTAGACCAGTTTTGCCTTCATATGTTGCTTGGAGCCAGCCAGGTTCCACTGAAGGATAGACTGCAGAAGAAAAAAACAAAACAAAACAAAACTTATTTAAAACTAACAAGCAAAACAAAAACATATTTAGTATTCCATCTAGTGTGGTAGCAATTTATGTTAAGTCCATATTCGGCACTAACAAAATAAGGAATTTGATATTTTACATTCGTTTCTATAATACACTGTTTCTGTTCTTTTTACAAACATTTCAAACTGTACAGTATATTGCACTTCAATCTCAAAAAGATCAAATTCCCCTAATAGTTACACACTTCAAAGTTTGCAGTTGATTATATTTACAAAAACAAACAGGCTAACCTAGACAAGCTTGGCAGACTGAGTTCATTGTTCTGAAAAACAGACTCAAATCATACATTCTCAGGGAAGTTCAGGATGTTCTTTTAAACTAACTCTGCAAAATATTCTACACAAATATAGATCTACTGCCAAACTCTCTTTGGTCATGTTCTGAATACATCATACCAAACAGCTCCAGACAGGGATAAGTCTTGGGAGAAGTAGGTGGCTCTCTGACAGTACTGGCATGGGAGAATTAAATAATCTTCATCATATGAATTTTGCCAGACAATCTAACAACCCAAGACTTATGCTTCAAGTAGGGGTATGACAAAGCTAAAGAGCTTAAATGAAAACTCTGGTAACAGATGCACCAGTAAAAGGTCAAGACAAATGTTTGGTACATTGCCTCCAAAAAGACAAATCAATGCTCACATATGGAATTCTATCCTGACTAAGACACAATCACAAATGGAAATCAGTCATTTTGGGGTAACCAAAAAATCTTTGGTTACAAAATTTATTGTATCGCTCTGCTGTAAAGCTGTATTTTCCCCCAGTGGTAAATGACAGTGGGGAATGAGTGGGAGAGGAAGGTAGAAAGTTATTTGGCCTTTTTAAAACTTCACAGGCTCATCAAACCTTTCTTTTTTGTAATTACACACATCTAGCATATGTCCCCCGGTAAAGCTAAAACAGGCTGTAAAACCCGCATGTTCTCTGTAAAATAGGGTTTTGGGATAAATGTAAGGTGTGGAAGGTGGTTTGTAATGAATTATATGGAGCATTAATCGAGACAATCTATACTGTGTGCTTTATGGTGGCCCAGTTGGTGGGTGTAGTGGTGGCACTAAGGATCTGCGCCTGTGGCTGGAAGGTTGCAGGTTCAAATCCCGCGGCTGGCAGAGGAATCCTACTCTGCTGGGCCCCTGAGCAAGGCCCTTAATCCCGACTGCTCCAGGGGCGCTGTACGATGGCTGACCCTGCGCTCTGACCCCTACCTTCTCTCCCTGTCTGTGTCTCATGGAAAGCAAGCTGGGGTACGGAAAAGATGAATTCCTAATGCAAGAAATTATATATGGCTAATAAAGTGATCTTATCAGTTCTTACCGTTTGAAAAGACCGCCCCCTGGGGAAAACTGAGCTCATGGCTGTGCTCTGCTTCACAGGAATACATGGCTTTTGCTTCCCTGAAACACAAGAACAAAGACATGGAATTCAGATGCATGAAGGATAACAGACTGGGCCGGTTTTCTTAGAAGCTGTGCACAGAGCTGTAGTTATGTAGTTATTAAAGGACTGGAATTGAGGACAGTGTTCTGTGATTAATATAAATGAGCTCATTATAAATAATCAGTAGATAAAACAATGATTTTAAGAGCAATCATTTGCACAGGGCGGTACTACAGATTCATGCAACACGTTCTTTTTGTAGATTTCCTTTCATCAACCTTTTCCAGTAACATTCAATCAGTTTAAAGAAGAGTGGATGTTATTTCACAGGTGGGTGGTTAAGAGCTATTCTTTGAAATTCTCTAGCTGAAGGAAAAACTGGATCTTTTTTTGTTGCTTGTAAATAGTTTTTGCTTCATTCAAGTTAATTATTTCCTTCAGCTTTAATGACTAAAAGTGGCTTTGTATTACCTTTTCCCCCAGACTGGAATTTGTTAAGATCAAGGTGAAAACTGGTTGTACTTGTCTTAGAAAATATGCATCAATAAATGGGCGTAGATCAAACATCTATTGATAGATTAATGCAGTCCTTCAAAGAATACTATCCTTGTACTAAATTTATTGGATGAACTTCTTTTAGGCTATGGCTGTAAATTTAAGTCAAGTCAAGATTTAAACAAAGGAGACAATGATGTTGAATACATTACTGTACCTTCCTTCAGGAGCAGGCTGTGTGGCAACAGCATTTTCAAACAGCATAGCCTTGGCAGCCACTCTGGAAGTCACACAAAACCACTTCAATCTTTCCATTGATATGCCAAAAGATATTCAAGCATTAAATTCCTGATATGCAGAAGAGCATATCTTTGCAAGAGCAGTGCTTCTCTTGCAAAGATATAATCTAAATAAAAATCGTGATCCTAATACAAGCTGCCTAGACTGAAGGTAACTTTTGTTATGAAAAAAAAGTCCATTCTGTCATACTAACCTTTCTATTGGAAAGCACTCCAGCACATTATACAGTATGCCGGAGTAGTATTGTAGGTGAAAACCAAGTGTTTTTGCCTTTAATTTACACTGGGGGCTAAAGTAAGTCAAAATGAACTGAAGTTACTCAAGTGCAGGTCTGAACTGCAATATTTAGTGTCCAGAACATTTCTCACTTGAACACTTCTCCTCTCAGTGTTTCTAGACCCCCAGAGGGGGAAGGCAACCTGGGGTTACCACAGAAACACCCAGTTCCACTACCAGTTGCCTTTGTCTCCCTTCTGGGACAGACAGTAACTTCCTGTCCTTGGCTCAACGTCTACAGGGGGCCTTCCTGCCAAACGTCTGGTGAGAAAATGGCAAGCGCTACAATATTTAACTTTTTTTTAAAGTATTGAAATCCATTGCTGCATGTTAGATTTTGCTGTCTTGGAGGCAGTTAAACACAAAACAAAAAACAGATGCTAAACAAAATGGCAATCCTTTAATTTCGAACTCTTGTAGCACATAAGCTTTTGCCAGGTAAGGAAAACAAAGGCTGGGATCAACTTTGGATACCGTGTGCTTTTCGCAACGAGCAATTTGATTTATTTCCACTACTTGAGAAGTTAAATAAACCTCTCATGGGATACGCCAGAAAACTCTAGGTCACCTCAACCCTTCTCTGACTCAGTAACTAATTATAGTTGGCTACTGCGTAGGGGAGCTGCATTGAATCAAAGCTCATATTTTGTAGAAAGATTAGATTCGAAGGTTTAAATATTAAACAGGAAATATATATAAATTGCTTCAGGTGGTAGAATTTCAAAACTCGAGTCAGATTTGCTCATGAAGTATCACAGTTATAATGCAAATAGGAACCAATGTTTATTATAAGGAACAGATTTCCTTACACGGATCCTGGCCTCTGGTAGCCGTTACTGGCTGAGGTTTCCAATCTGCGTCTGACTGTCAGCTTGGCTGGGAGCTCTGGATTTGGAATAATATTGGGGGAATCTTTATGCTCTGTGGAGGTGAGGCTTTGCACAGATCCACTGTAGCTTCTTCGGCCTGGGAACGTGAAAACGCTTCATTAGTAACACCACCCTTTCTTTTGAAATAAACCAGACAGACGCTGGTCTAGACAGATGTTTTTCTGATCTTCTCATCACAATATCTGTTTTTCTCTTTCTTATGGAGCTAAAGAAATTAACAGGCAATAAAAAATTAATAAGGCCTGTTTATTTTAAAGATACAAAATATCAGTATTGCTTATAGTAAACAGGCACATTCTCATGAAAACCATACGGTCTCTTAACAAAACAAACCTACTCCTCTGACAGGATAAATATGCGTAATGAAAGTGAAGCCTCAGCCCGCTAATTGTCGTTTAACACTGGGGTTACCTTCAGAAAGGTGCAGAGATCTCAGTGAAGGGGCAGCAGAACGGCTCAGCTCTGCCGATTTCAGCTCTGCCACTCCGTACGGGGTTTTCTTCGGCAGCTCTAGAGGCGGAGACCTGTTCCCTGTGGTGGTGGTGACGGAGGATAGGCTCTGTGTGTCAGACTCCCCGTCGGTCTTGGCCGTGTCCTCCTTGGAGCTGGAGTCGGGGCTGGTCGTGCAGGCCGAGCTCTTCGGCCCATTGGACGACGTCTGGGAAGGCGTCCAGCATAGACTGCTGCCGGACTTGTCCTTGGGCTGAGAGGAGCTTGTTTTCGACGAGCTGTTCTGCTCAGAGGAGTGCGAGGACAGAGACTCGATGCTGCCCATGGGGGTGCTGCCGGGACTGCTGCTGAACGTGTCGCCTGAAGAAAGGAGAGGACAAACACACGAGGGGAGCAATTTCTACTGGCCCCTTAGGAGGACTGTAAATGAATGCCCTGCAAATGGACAGCCTTTGACTGAGTCCAATATTCATTCAAGGTCAGATGACCTTGATGTAAAAATCAGTCCCTTGCCAAAATAAACAATGAATAAAAATGCAGGCATTGTCTTTTTGTGTCTTTAAGGTCATAACCCCCCTGTTAACTGATTAGGGCTCTGTCCCCCTGTTAACTGGTTAGGGCTCTGTCCCTCAGGACTGGAGGGTGAAATCCCAGATGGGATGCTGCTCTTGGTCCTTCCTCAGATTCAATTACTCACTGTCCGCATCTGCCAGGCACAGGGTAGGTGTGTAGAGGCCTTTCGGTCTCCGGGACCCAGTGGAAAGACAAATGGCTCGACTTCTGCGGGAGCTTGACCGGGACTGCGGCTGAGGAAGGGGCACGTTGGGGTCTGGGGCCTCGTGGAATATCTGCGATGCCGAAGACACAGTCAAAATTAACACTGTTTCAAGTGTGACAAGTTATGTTTATAGATATTAGAAATTATATTTCTCCAGTAGTGAGAAGATTCTTTTTTCTGTCAGTACTTTTATTATATATAAGATGTACAAATGTCTTAGAAATTCGTTGTTTGCACTATTGTATTTATTTTTTATTCAGAAGCACAATTCTGTGGAAATCTTTTGCTTACATTTAAGCTGTTTTGACAGATCTGTATTTTGTGGTACAATAAAGCAGCCTTTTAGCTTTAGGGATCTGTACAGAGGAACAGATGATGTTAGTGTTGAATGCCTAACAGTGTGACAATAACTGTAAATCTGATTGGCAAATGGATTGGCTACTCTATCATTTTATATTAGCTTCTCATATACTGCACTTTCTGTATCTTCAGCTCTGGTAATCAAGTAACTGATCAAGATTAATGTTCATGTGAACTAAAGGTTGCTAAATGACAAGCTTGATTTCTTCTTTGTCAAACTAAGCTTTATTAATAACATCCAAAGCTGTTAGAACAACAGAAAACACAAAACCTTTGATAAAACTACAAGGACCAACTTTACACCTCCCAATCCTATTTAATAAATTTGCACAGCAGTATAGCAGTATAAAGCAATTTAACGGCATGTATTTCTTAATGGTACTAATTGATTCAATGGCTTAAATGTAATACCATACATTTAAGTAAATTATTATGAATATGGTAAAGAGCAATACTTTTTCAGATTAATTCACTTATAAATTAGTAAATGGCGCCACCTGCTGCCAAATGCACAAACAGCTGCCACATCTGCGAAAAAGGAAATACATTGAAATAAAATGTAACAATATACTGTTTGTATATTAAAGGAAGAAGTCTACATTTTCAAAAAAATCACAAGTATGTTTAGCACAGTACAGTACATGTAACTCTAAATCAAATGCCCAGCTCTGATCTATGACAACCGAGCTCCTGATGTGCCTCACCTTCTCGTAATTCTCAATTAGAATTTCTACTACGATGTTCTGGAACTTGATGTTCATCATGGCTGCTACTGTCTCCTCCTGCGATCTCATGAGGGTTGGGCCAAAAATCACCCCAAGGTTGGATATTGTCATCAGGTTTTGTTGGCTGTGAGTTGACACCCTGTAGAGAGAACCATACAATTCACCCCATGTGAATAGCTCATTTGTAGCTCATTATAAACTCATTATTTATTTTAAACTCATTTGATGAGTTAGTGATGGATAAAATGTCGCCAACAAGACCTACCTGACCAGGTGCTTTATTAGAATCTCAAGCATCTCCTTGTTTCTCTCTGGCAGCTTGTGAACGAGGCCATGGACAGCACGAACCCGGTAATTCTGATCATCAGACTCTGAAAAATGAAACAAAATCGTGATGAAAAACATACACACAGAATTCTAGGTCATAGTCTGCTCTTCACTAATGTTTTTACCAGAGAAGAAGAATAATTCGTGAACAGGACAATGCCTGCTTTAGGGCAGTATATGATTGCTAGGCCTAGTGCCAACCCCAGAACCTACAGGGAGCCATCTTATAGATGTATAGCTCATATTAAGATTTGTAGCGACAAGGGGGAAAAAGGACACCTCCCTTTCTTGTGAATTGATGACTACAGCCAGACAGTTGAATGCTAGGGCATGACTAAATTCATAATAAATTAATAATGACCAATGTATTAGGGTAAAATTGAATTCCCCAGTCACAGCCCAAGGAGCCTCTTTTTCAGCTCTGTTACTGCATAAGCTTCCTTCTACATCTAGTGAAAGTTAACACACCTAGAGAAGGTATTATGCTGGTATTAGAATGGAGAAAACCCAGAGGGAGCTGATAAGGTTACCTTATTTTGACTATCTTGTGTTTGTCTTTGGATCCATCTCCGTCTTTGTGAGGTGAAGAGATAAAAAAACTAACTTTGCCAATTTGCCAAAGACTTTGCAACCACATACTGCAGGATACATACTGCAGTGCTCCCAGCACATAAAACAAAGCATCTCCTCTCTATCTGCACTATGTTTACTTCTGACCTAACGAGAAAAAAAATAATACTGTTCATCTAAACAGAGTTCTGGCAGAAAACAATTTTAAATTTTATTAATGCCCACTAACAAGTCAACCCAACATAATTTATTTAAACTGTTTTCAATTAGCAGACTTTTATAACTTACTGACAGCCATGATGAAATCTTTGTGAAACTTGTAAGTCATCAGTGGCTCTGAAAGGCATCTGGCAAATATACAAATTAATAAAATAAATACCAATTCTGAGAAACAAGAGAGAGAAATATGCAGGGAGAGCCACACACTTAAAATAAGTTCAAGTTTAACATGGGATATTCTCTAAATGTTTGATCTTTGAAACAAGACTGATAATGTGCAATAACCATACTTACTGAAGATACTCTGTTTATAACATTGTTATAATGAAAAGTAGTTTACATTCCAGGGGACAGTAACCTGTACCCTTCATACATATATTTCAGAAGCAATGAATTTGAGATTGAAAAGACATTCCTTATTTAGATGTTGTACACAATCCTACTCTCTGAAATAAAATGAGAATAACTGTTGGTGTCTGTTTATTGAATCGGTTATTAATTCCTGGTGTAGATCTAGGCATGACTGATGTACAGGTATAGACTCACCTGAGGTAATTCTTCAGCCCACTGGTGACTGTTTTGTTGTCCCACATGTCTGGATCCAAATCCATGTCTGATGGAGCTTTGTTTCCTTAGAAATTTTGAAGATGCTTTAATATCAGCTCTGTGCAGTAAACATACTGTATATAAAATTCAATATATCCCTGCAATTAGTTTAATGCATTTTAAGGCAGGAATTACAATGTACAGAAAATAATGTTGCTATAAAATACACAAATTCAAATTTTACACCATGTTAGTAAAGGTGCTAGGTTTAAAGAGTAATAAATCCCATAGCCAGCTTTAAGGGCTATTGTTCAATCAGGATGCATCATAATGTAAATATCAAAAAGGCTGAAACAATAATGTGGAAATATGCTGCTTCCCAATTGGACGTCAAAATAAACAAGCACTGAAAGAGATACAGAGAAGCTATCTGCACTGTGTAAGAGGAATGCCTGGTGATTAACATCTGTGTTTAGTCTCCTGAAAACTTGCGGCTGCTGAAAGAAATTGAGAAATCACCAAAGTGAACCAGCTAATGAAGAAAACATATTTATGTAACTTTCATTCATTAGGGAATCCCTGAAATTCATTACGTGTCTAGGTCAATATACTGGAAAATGAACTGAGAAACAAGACCGTTGGTATACCAAACACTGCATTCATCAGCTTCTGGACCTTAGAGTTCACTCCTCCTATTCTGTACAGTCCCATTGTGTTAATTCCTACAAAATACATAACATAAATTAACATGAGCAAAAAAACAACACCAAATATTCCCTCAGTTAATTTTTATGTTTTTACTTACATTTTTAATTTTCACTCTATTTCAACAAATTTGAGATAACCCCTTAAATGATCCTTAAGAGAAACACAACCACCTCATTCTGATTCTATATTCTGATTTTATTTAATACAGGGTTATCTATTTTAATAATGTTAAATAGAATGTTATATCTATCCAGCAGGCACTTTTACCACTGTTTGCTGTGCTTTCTTGTGGGCAAACTGTCCACTTCACTGCCCATCAATTTAAAAGGCAGGTTGTCCACAGTAGACAATTAGGTAAATTATACTGTTTCCAAGCTTTATTAATCACGTGAATCATTATCATCTCCCCCCAATCATAACAGCACTGCACACTTGAAGCATGAATAATCACAAATTATGAACCTTAACAAACTGTGCCAAAATTAATTTTAATAGTCCCAGTTTCTGCGAAACCAAGATGATCTCCAAAGCTAAAGCTGATACCTGGGAGTAACTAATTCCTCTGCTATGCAGGACTGAATGGAGTGTACATTAAATTTTGTTTCGCTACGCAGGACCGAATGGAGTGTACATTAATTTTCGTTTCACTATGCAGGACAGAATGGAACGGACATCAAATTTTATTTCTGCTAGGCTAAATAGCCTGAAGAATGATATAGTGACATATACATCACACACTATGATAAAAAAGGAAAAAATATGAGTGCACCAATAAATTGCTTACCCCTTATCTCCACCAGGTGTATACACTTTTTCACAAAATTAAAGCCTGCTTCATTGAGGAACACTGCAAATACAACAGTGGGCATTAGTTACACTAATTAAAATACATTACTTGTCTAATCCCTACTAGAAGGACAAGAGATAAGATCATAACAAGAGTAAAGGAAGACTGAAAACCTTTTGATTAACTGCGAGGAATTACAACTGTGTATCAACAGCAAAGTATCTGCCAAGGTCAGTTGCTTAAAGAATCTTTAAAGGGAGTCTAAAAGCATAAGAAACTTTTCATTTTGTGCAATATCCACAATTAAGAGGTCTTTAGTACAAAACTTACTCTCTTCTTTCTTGCTCAGAATAGCTGGAAGAGTGTATATCTGAAACAAAGCCAAACCCAGAACATTATTGCCGTACATCATAATAGAAACAAATTCATAGTAAGTTTAGATTAAGCCTAGCCTGTTAAAAATGTAAAAAAGCAAACCCAAGTTACATTATTCTTATCCTTTGCCTTCCAAACCCTTGTGGGTGTTATCTTTGAAGCTCACAGGTCAGGTAGAAGGGCATTATAATGCATCTGTAAACAGAGTTCTTGTGCACGACATGCTAAGAAAAGAAAGGTCAACATTACACTTCTGTACGGCTTGTGAAAAAGTGGACATACCGGCTCTTTTCCGTCCATGGCCTCCAGCCAGAGCCTCCGGTTGGATTCGGACAGAGCCTGCAGGGTAATGATGCCGTGCCTGTTTGCAAGAATCAAAAACCTGAGTTATTAGAGTTTTACCAGGACCAGCTGCTTCTCCCTGCAGCACCACAGAAGACTTTTATAATAGTCACCTTCTTCTGTTTACCCGGTTTTTCATGATTATGCACTGAGCCCTTTTACCTAATGAGCTGAGTATCCTAGTCTATCTTTTTGGCATCTCAATTACTGCCCACAGCCACCACCTGTCGTCAACGTTTTGAAGTAAAATAAAAACCACTAAAAAGCATAACCACATGGCATTCTGTGTTTATTTTCCCCATGGAGAATGTCTCTATATCCACAGACCACTGTACAGTACAGAACACTGTGTACCGATCATAGTGAAAGCGAGCTTGTGCCAGTGGTATAGTGAAGTTAACCCGCCAAACCATGACAGCAAAGAATTAAGACACTTTCTGTGGTTTCCTAAACAAAACCATCAACCAGGACAAAACAATTTAGCTGTAAATGAGAACATTTTAAAATTGCTTGGCCCACTCCAGATACAGTATCTTTCTGTGTTGTAATTTTTAAGTGATCCAATAAATCTGTTCTATGATACCTCGTTTTACTTAGTGGGCATATCATAGTGATCTCATAAAATGTGTTGTAAAATGAACATGATAGCTTATCCAAATGAAATGCAGAGACCCAAGAAGAAGCATCTTCATATATCATCTTCAGACTGTAAGCGTTAAAAAACTGTACTGTCACAACAAAGTTAAATAAGACATGGACAGTTCACGTTCCCATGCATGTATACAAAAACAGCCTGGGTTTGACAAAAAAAAAAATCCTGTTGTATTTCTTTTATAATTATCTGCTCAAACAGCATTATTCTATAGCTGATTTTGTTTTATCACTACTCAGAAGTTACAAAACATAGCTTAATTGAATTAAATGTATTTTCTGAACTGTGTAATTGGCATGGTTTCAGAATTAATGAAAATATATACACATTTTATTTTCACATATCTTAAGCAATGTAGTTAGTAGGGCTTCAGCATAAAGGCATATATTGTATCATTTACATTTTTGATAAGGTACATCCAATTATCTTTGCAGCACTATACTGCTGAATAGTAAACAGTACTGGCAAATGTCTCACCCCATAAGCAATGATTAGTGTAAGCACCTTCTGGACATTTTTCATATGCAGTCACCTAATTATCCACCATGCAAGCCTGCAATAAATGCTGTGGAAAGATGCCGGTCCAAGTCTTTGCAAGAAGAGTGAAGGTGACAAATTGTCTCACAGATCCTTCTTTAGTACTGTAGTTTTCTGTGCTTCACAGGCAATTTTTAACAGCATGTGGTAACTGTTCTTGGCCCTGTACAAATGGATATGCTAGATACTAAGGCTAAAAATGCAAACAGTATACATGAGGTTATAGGTTTAACCCTGTTAAAACCCTGTAACAAAATCTCTTTTATTATTATTTTATTATTATTTTAAGGACTGAGATCAATCTAAGAATGAACTAATGCATCAATAAATACATAATGATTCATTAATTAACAGAAAAAATACTAGATTTATACGTGATTTAAAGTTTCTGACCGAAGGTTTATAAAATAAGTCATCTTCGAAAGTGTTATTAAATTATTTTACTGTTTCTTCTCTTAAAATAACCCAGCTGAAACAAAAAAAAATATCAGTGGGTAATGTCTTTTTAATCAATTTGTTACATACTGTATATTGCATGAGACATGCAATACCATATTTATTCATTTTATTTTCATATGTGAGCATTTCATTGTGAGTCTGCATGTTTGTGAGTAACGTCAAAGCAAATGCAAAATTAAGAGAGTGTGCAAAATACTTTCTGTGAAGGGCTCATCCTTACATGCAATGATGATTTTTCTTTGCAAGGATAAGGATTAGGAAATCATATATTTTCTAAAGCAGGTTTATTACCAGCACACATGCAAACCCATGCAACTGCTCTAGAAAGATACTTAGCTGATAACATACCGGGATTTACAGAAAATTTGAAGAGGTCTGAAAAGATTTCCATGATATTGGGTATTTCTACATTAACATGAAAACAGAGAAACAAGTAGAGAAAGTTTGCTACTTAGAAATGCCAGTCACTGGTATTTACATATAAAGGAACATTGAGATCATGCAGGAAGCAAACTGAAATGAATGAATCTCATTCACTATGGCTATTTTTATCACATATTATACTGTAGGTCTACTAATTTCTGAGAAGAAGAATGGTAAAATCCTGAGTAACATTCACCTTACTTTGCAACTTCTGGTTAACTTTTGGTCATTTCAGTAATTGTTTTACTTGTATTTTATATGACACTGAAAATCATATCATATGCCTTTCTGAAAATGGCCTTTGTAAAGAGAAAGCAAAGTTTAAACTGCACATGAAGTCTTATTTATTATGGTGGAAATACTAATGATGGGATAAAGCTATAAGTTGTATGATATAAAATGAATAGAAGCAGCAATATTACACTTTGACTCTACAGTTGGATGCTTGTGCAAAGTATTTGCTCACAATGCCAGATTTTAATGGCTTAAGTTAGTAATACAAAGTGAAACAAAAGGTGCCACAAAGCAGTGAATGAAGACTTGAAAATCCTGGAGGTAGAAATGGAAAACGTGAAACTGGTCCTCTTCTCAGAGTAAACAAATAAATAAATGTGATGAGTACAAACCTCTCTACTACTTCTATGTCAAAACAGAAACGCTTGTCAATGGAATCTGTCTTCCTCCTGATGCAGGACTTCAATTTGAACATTTCAGGGGGACTTGCGACCAGGCCATTCTTTTGAAACAAACAAAAAAAAATATGTTAGCCATCAAGCATTGTATAAGGCAATGCCATTTCATCCTAAAAAGACAAATGAAGATCTCAATACAAATGGCAAGGGATGCTCTCCAGTCAAATCTGTGATGCATGAGCAGCAGTGTCGTTAACAACTATTTATATGCACTTACTGTTGGATATGACAGAAACAAATAATGAAAAAAATGCTGCTTAATGACTAAATTAGAGACATGTCTGAAATGCAACATTGATGAAGTTACTTTCAAGAGGTTAACACAGAGATATTCTTTTGGGTTAGTTTCAGCTAAATATGTTAATCTGTGTTCCAAACAATGAGGGGAATCTATGAGGATTTGGGGGATGTGCCAACAAACCATCTTAAAAGTCTAAATACTGCATATAATATTTACAATATAGATAAGATATTATAGCATTAGATATTGGAGCTGTGTTGTACCATACAAGTGTCTTTTTTAACAATTTAAATGTGTGGCTACTCTGAGGCCACAGACCTGGAGAACTGCGTTTGCAGTCACTGGTGCAGTCAGAAAGTCTGGCAAGACTCCCTGAAACAGTACAGAAATCAAATCCATAAATGACATTTTTTGTACTCTGAATTTTCAGAAATGAATGAATTGTTTGTCAGTTCCTTTTTGTTTTCAATTTAAAGGCTTTCTGACCCTATGATTAAGCAATTCAGTGTATGAACAGCTGAGATCCTGGTTTGGCATTATCCGGCTTGACTGAAGGAACAATATCCCGGCTATCAGGATAAAGGATGGCAGAATGTCAGCACTAGATGGACAGAGCCAAGGAGCTGCGGTAAGGGTAGTGAAGGGGTGGAAGACATTGGCACTGATACAGTATGTCTGCAATGGAAGGGAATTTCATCATCTGCTTTCATACTTTGCTGGGTGTGGTAGTGGCTTAACCTTAGTTCTTGAAATTATGATCAAACTAAAAAAATAAAGCTGCTAAATGTATGCTAACAAGGCAAGAAGTATTCTTCTTTTTCTTTCAAGTAATTTTAGAACATTTGTGGCTTTTGTCCTTTGAAACACACACCATTTTCCCACCCGATTTGATATCGGTGTTGCTCATCGTGAAGGTTTTGCTCCCTTTCTCATATGTACAGTAATGTCTGATCCACGTGAATCCCAGGGGTCCTACAGTAAGAAGAAAAAACAATGCATGTAATGGCTGCAAAGAGAAATTCTGCTGGTTCTTGGCAAGATCAGTTTTAAATTATTTGCAAACTCAGAAATGCCTAAATAGGACTAAGGAAAAAGGACAAATGTTTGTCAGAGTAGATAAAACATCTCACATAATCAGAACACTGCTTTGGTGGATAAAACTGAAAGTAAAAGTGAAACTACATGCTATGGTGAAGAAATCAATTTGATGGAAACATTAAGAGCAGAATGGAGACCGCACCTGTAGAAGATTCTGTAGTGTTAAAACACATAATCAAAATGGTATGTAATAATACTAGGTATTCTTCAAGATTTTAAAATTTGATTTTGTGAGTGGAGATGCTTAATGATAGGATCACTAACACACGTACGCTTTTCTTGAACACAAAGGTATCCCTCCATTGTCCACTGGCCTGGTGGGTTATAGTCTTGGTCAGCAGATTTTATCCTCTTCATCAATTTCTCCACTTCCTGCCTGGTGCTCTCAAAATTGTTCCTTGTCTGTAAAAGACAAATAAGCTAAGAAAACACAAGTACTCCTACCACAAAGACAAGAGCCATACTTGAAGTAAAATAAACACACAGTCATGAAACAAATGTCAAAATCACTTATCTAGATTCAACCAAATTATGGTTGATTTTTCAATTAATGAAACTGAAAATTGCAAACTTCACAAATTACATCAGCAAAGGGAAAGTCAGTCATGCTGTATGTGCAGTCATGCTATTTGCTATATTTAAATGCTGAACCTTTAACAAAATCTGAAATGAACAGGTACAAAGATCTACACATAGCACCCGGTAGGTACATTAAAAGTTTGAAATGTTTCACATGCTTAATAATTAGAAATTTACAGTGTAACACATGAATCAACACAAAACATCTGAGCAGAATTTTGCTTCTAAAACAGCCTCCCTGAATCCCATCCCGTTTTTATTTCTTTCCAATCCTATTAACCCCTTTGACACTGCAGTGAGATGGGAGAGCAGCACTTACATTCTGTAAATTGAACTGCAGCTGTTGCTTGTAGGGCTCAAACTCCTGTGCCAGCTCGTAGCCCTCATGGTAGAATGTAAACAGGCCTTGGAGGAAGGCCAGCAGCTGTGTGGAAATGAGCGCAGGAAAAATCAAACAAATTAGACACGTCAAATATGTAAATAGAAATATCCTGAAACAAGGAGCGCAGTGATGAGTTATTTGCTTTAAAGTGGAAACATGCCGCGCAGTAATTCTCCTTTTAACAATACAGGTCCATTCCCAGTGAGAGTGATCTGTTTCCGTTACACTTTGAAGAATAGAAGATTTTAGAGGTGTTCCACAGAAGCCAGTGATTTAATTGTATTTCAGTATGAGATCTTTTAAGAGCCAGGCAATATACAGTATGATTGGGGGTTGATCATTTCTATTTTCTGGATACTTACAGCTTTAAACCAGAGGCATTTTTTAAACTGGATTAGATTACTAGTGACAAAAGGCAATTTTTCTTGACTTTTTTAGTCGGTAGATTCAGAGATAAAATCAGATTTTGAAGCCAGAATCTGGGGCTGCAGTTCTAGAAGAGCGCAGCACAGACTGGTGCAGAAAGCTTGAAACTGCCTGCCTTTCTTCTACATATCGACAAGAGTAAAAGAAGGCAGGCATAATGAGAACCTGCATTACAATTTCCCAAACTGCATTTTTTCTGTGTCAGATCAAGGTATGCGGAGCTAGAAGCTGGGTAATTGCTTTTGTGTTTCTTTCCAGTACCAGTGTTAGTTCTAAAACGCGCTGAAGGATTTTAATCTTGGACAGATTTCTGCACAATCACTGTCAGAAAAAGGCAACTCACACAACATACTTTTATATACTGAGAGTCAGTATTGAAAGATTTGAGTAAACTCAAACAAACTTCTTGTATTTTTAACATCTATTAGTATAGAAGAAGTCCTGTTGTGAAGTGGAATTATAAATTGCAGGCCATGGTATAGGTAGTAATAGCACTGTACTGCAATAGAAAACTGGCTGCTCTATTAGAGCCCAAATGCCAGTATCTCATCCTTTATAGCATGTGCTCCATATTTTCCCTCTTTCCCTAGGATCTGTAAATGTCACATTTACATTTTTCCAGCTGATGTTTTCAAACTCATCAAAATCAGCACCTTCTCCTTATCACCTTTTCAATGATGAGTCGTATAAAAAACACTTCAGCACTGTCAAGAAATTATGAGTGTTTCCACTTTTTTAAACTCTTGTCAAAGCCAAATTAAATTAATTTAGAAACATTGCAACCACAGTTGTATGATGTTTATTTTCAGATCCAGTCATAATGACATCCTGTAGATTTTTGAAGCACCTCTGAATTTTTCATTTCTGTGTAGGGTTCAAAGAATTGACCTTAACCTGTGTTCATAAAGCTCTTTACACACAGTACTTCAGTAAGATAATTAGCTTTTTATTTGCTTTTCATTTTCCAAGAGCTCCATCTGTTCTTATACATTCCCACATCAATTCTTCAAAGCAGTAAACAATTTGCTTATAATTAAAAAAGAAAATCCAATTTCCTTGTAGAATTATAAGTACCACTTACAGAAACTCCAAACATTGAAACAGAAAGAAAACGGAATCCAACCCAGCCATGAATTGTGATTCACTTCCTTAGTAAATAACCTAGCAACAATTTATTCTACATTTCATGTAAGTGCAATGTAGAAGATGCCTTTTTGTGTAGATGTGTGTGAACCCTTCGTCTTTTAATTTTGAGTGTTCTCAACAGTTACAAAAATATATAATTTCAGTATGTCTCATCATTTAGCAGCGTTCATTCTGTATATTACTATATATTTCTAAATATATACTGTACGTACAGTATATGCGTATATTCTACATAAGTGTATATCTTGATAAAAAAATAACTTGGAAATTAAATCTTTTAAGAAGTTCATTCCTGTTACATCACAGTTACAATTATTTTAATTGCTAATTAAAAATGCAAAACAGATGGTGCGATACTATTTTTTTACACCAGAAGTACCATTTAACCCCTACAAAACAATTGATTTCCTTACCTTAGGAAAGAAGTACAATAATGGGAAAGATCTGAACATTAAATAACAAAAACTGATATTTTATTTTTTAAAGTAAACAAACATTTATAAGATACATGTATGAATGATTGCTTGCCCACATATAACTTACTGGTTCTACAAATTCAAATTTCTTTTTTTCTTGAACTTCTTGGATTTTGAAGACGTATTCAAGAGAGGCATCGTAAAAAAACTGGCGTTCTTTATGAATCTGGGAATCAGCCTGAAACACAAACAAATTTGTGACTAGTTTCTTGGATGCAAAATGGAAACTCATTATTAAGTGTTAAAAAACTTTTAAAAATCCTTTTAAAAATATACTTTGAAGGCTTTATGACATGTATTCACCACTGTGATGTCTCACGATCATGAAAATATCAAACAATGGCAGAGTAAATAAATAATTTATACCAAGAAACACAAACAGAAACAAAATACAACACATTTAAACACATTATGGAAATTTCCTTCTGGGATATCATTGCATCCTAATGCAATATAATATCTCATATTATAACAGCATTTGAAACACACCTGTATATTTGCTTACCTCTTGTAAAAAAGATTCTTTCTTTTTAGATGATAAATTCATGTGCTTCTCCAACACTGAATAGTATTTCTCACTTTCTTTGTCAAATTTCTTTTTTCCTTCCTGTAAAATATGTTATATATTACACTGTATCTCTTCAAAATACAATAATGTTAGTTTATGATGAAAATGCATTTTTGTGTAAAATAAATTAAATTAAATCATTTCTTATTTATTGGCCTGCATGTCTGGTTTTAGTATTTTCTAGGGTTAATAGTAGCATTGTTTATAAAAACTTTTGAGTTTTTAATTTATTTGGAGATCCCTGTTTAAAAGAAGGGATTTCTTGGAAAAGGGCCTTCCAATTAAAAAAAAGGAAATTAAATCAGAAACAGCTTAATCTAGATTAAAAATTCTACTTTATATTCAAACAAGCAAGAGAAATAGGGGTTAAACTCCTACTCTGCGTATACATTCCAAATATTTTAATGCCTATAGCCCCATGTATCTAAATTCTGTGATGTGCCCCAAACACTAGCATCTGAAAATCAATGTTTCGTGCAGTTTAATGTTAAACCCACTAGATGGTACTCTATTGCTGTTTTTCCACCTTTGTGTTTTCAGAGCTGTCAAATACACTTGAGAAATAAGTGCACAAAGGGGGACTTAAGAATCATCACACAAGAAAGCCTTAGAAATAGTAGAAAAAAACATCCAATTTACTACAAAATATCAAGTACTGCAAAGTACTACAGTGATTGTTCATAAGGAGATATATACTGAGCATCAAAAGAGACTTGTCATGTATTCATGGATGCATGTCTTTTAGGAAAATGGAAGAGTATACTTATTTTGAATATTGTCATTTCGACTAAGTGATTATTCATAACTGACTGTAATTGACAGTCAGAATTGAACTGAATTACTTTGTTGCATAAGTACTGAATCACCACATTAGTGAGAGAGTTGATTGAGGGCAGGGGATGAATTCTGTAGCAAGTGAACAGAATCCTGCAAGACAGGATCTGCACAACCAGAGGTGTTCAGCTTGCATTGCTTCTAGTGGTGTGTATATACAATGCTACTAACTTGTGACTCTCACAGTAGATCTCCTCTTGATCAACCCTGTTGCTGTCAAATGTTAATCGAAACCTGTCATCTTCAGCAAAATGCCAGTGCAGCTACTGAAAAGATTATTGTTTTCCTGGTAACACTGTGAAATTACTGCAGTTATTGGCTAACTGATGTTACTTTTGATACTCAGTATATATTGAATGGTGTAGGTTGATTTGCACTGCATAAACTAAAAGACTGAAAAAAGATTTTGCATTGCACAGAGGGCTTAAATAATTAAATAACTTTTGCTATCTAGATTTGGTTATAATAGTTGCTAATATAGAATGCCCCCTCACCTTACAGAACAGAATGGCCCAATAGTCCAATATATTTCTAATAGTAAGTTCCTACACAAGCACTTTTTTTTAGCTTACACAATTTTGCTCCATGCCCAATCCACTGCCAATTCTACAACTAAAATAACCATGTCCAATTTATTCAATCCAGCATGAACAAAAAAAAACCCAGCACAATAAATATATCAGCAAAGCATTTTTATTTTTATTAAATCAAATTCACTGTGCATCTGATCCGCATTTCTAAATATATTCAAATTGCACATCATCCCTCTGCACTATGAAACCCATACAAAAATGCAGGAATGTTTTTCTTTCCCTTCAGTCACAGTTTCCCTTTATCAAACAGCACACCTGCTGTCTAAAGCACTTCCATGGCACGTGACTCTATGGCTTGATGAGCCAAATATGGTTTGTCAGGACTGGAAATATCTGGAATTGGACATGTCATGCCTGCAGTTAGAAAATTGTGATGCAGATTTAACATTTCTACTTACAAGTCTCATACAAATGTTTTAATGAAGCTTTACTGAATCAGAAACTACCTTTCCTATACCCAGCTGCAAGACACATAGGGGTTTAAGAACTATGCATGGCTGGTTTCACTGCATTCTGACTGAGCTCACTTCAATAACACTTGCATATTTGGAGCCACACAAGGAAAGTTTTTTTTTTTCCCTGAAGCGGAAGAAGAAATTAGATCCTGGTTGTTTATATTCCAGTTTGGACATAAACAAAACCCTTCCCATGACCTTAGAATTAACCCTAACTCTTTAAACTATTAGCAACTTCTGCTTGAGAACCGAATATACAATTGGTTACTCACTTAACCTGCCTACCACATGCTGGTAATTAACTCTATATGAGGGTTTATTACAGAAAAGTCTTCAAAAAAGCTCTGCCACAGATTTACATTGATTGTAATTAAGGTCGATTATTGTTTAAATGTAGTCAGATAAACTCCAGCTGGAAAATGACTTTTCTTCCAAACCTTTTCCCAGAACCCTTCTGTGTAAGTCATTAGTAAACTGAAATCAACATTCATACTAACATTATTTTTCTCCATTGTTTTGTATGTTAGATATAACCCTGAAAAAATGCTAAAGTGTGAATAGGTAGTGGTATAGGTACTTTATATTTTTTACTTTGTCCCACAGATGATAAAAAGCAAGTCACAATAAGAAAAGAAGAGGAGCATCTCTATCACTTTCATTCAATATATATTTAAAGAGTGAAAAATCATAACAATCCTAATGTCGATATTCTACACAACAAAAATGTCTTTTGTGTTTTCTGATTGGAAAAACTCCACAGAACCTGATGATTGTTTCTCATAGGGCATCTGGGAGGAGGCTAAGGGAAGACTCATCTCAGAGGTCCTGGTGTGTGACCAAAATACTTCATATACAGCCCTGTAGCAATTGTGCACAGTTCTGCCGTGTGGAAAAACAGCTAATAATTTGGCAGTTTCCAATCTGGGATGAAATAAAGGTTGACTGAAAGCAAAAAAAAGGCACAGAAGACAAACAGGCAGGCAAACAGACAGATGCAGAGCAATATGCAGTGTCCTAGGCTTCCAAACTGATGATATGCTGATGCGTAATGTATGGTATTTGTTGGGTTCTCACTGTATCATGTTTTTATGGTAAACATTAATCTCCATCGTAAAAAATGAAATACAAATCTATTAATCTTTCTCGCAATTAAGGAGAAACGGAAACAACCTCTGTTAGGTAATGAAATATCTCCCCCTTTGAGGAACCATTTACTGCTTTATCCTGCTGAGAGATATGGCCTTGTTTCCTTCCAGCTTTTATTGTGGTCATTCCCCATTAGGAATGTTTTAAACTGTGCAACTACACACGGGTGGATCCTGGTAGAATGGTTTAACTGTGTTATAGAAAGCTTTGAAGCTGAGCAGCGTGCCTTAATGAAGTAACTGTGGAATCTGTCTGCAGACAGAGTCTGTTAGGAGCCCTGAGAGGATTAGAATTCCGAACAGGAACTCGTCTCAATCCCATACTGAGAACAAACACCACCAGACAGCCAGTAATGGATGGGTAACAATGCCAGACATACCCTATCATTAGCCAACAATATGCATGTAGACATCCAAATGCATCCAAAGTTAAAATTAGATAAACAAATATCACCATTGTGCCTTAATTATAATTTCAGTGTGACTGTAAGCGGGACTTTAAAGTAGGATCCACTGAAGGATTGCCTTGAAGGCAGTTTGGCTATTCCTCCATGTTACTTTTAAAGCAGCTAATTATAATCAACACTAGAAGAAATGCCAACTAATATCCTTATGCAATGTGTTCCTCAATTTCGTGAGATTCTTGTACAACTAGTTGTACACTAAGAAGCAAGACTGATGCTCAACCACTATTTTGCGACCAGCATTTTCGTTTGCAGTTACTGATATTGAATTTGGGAACGTTCCGATCTGAAAAAAGAAATATGCATGAAAAACCAAAAACAAAAAGGTATGTTTTTAAAATTTAAGGGGATTACCACAAAGTTGCAAGTGGAATTGTTAAATTGTTAATGTTTTCTTCTGATACGTCAAACAAGATCCATCTGCTTAAATTACTTTTTGGGACATTCTAAATTTGTATAACCTATGAATAATCTGTTATATAATTCAAAACTGCCCCATATAGGAGGACTATGGGTGCCAATTTTTGGGGGGCTGATCGCAAAGCAAGTGAACTGAACACCATGTCCAGAATAAACACACCACTGTAGTCACATTACTATTTGTAATGCTTTCACATCACACAAGCTGTTCATACTTGCACAGAGCAAAAAACAATTTGGTGAGGTTCCAAACCTTCATTAAAAACTTTATTTTTCCCGAAGCTTCTGTTTGTTAAAAAGAATTTCCTACTAAGTCCAGCTGCTAATAGATATTGGATAATTCTTAACATCTGTTCTCAATTATTTTACAAACAACAAAAAAAAGTACTACAATCATAAATAATATGATAAATTATTAACTGATTCTTGTTGAATACAGCCATGAAAGCAAGCATTTCTTTGTGGGAGGCAAGGAAGTAGAATATTGGTATGGTACCCCAACAATTTTGTAACTGCCATTAAAGAGTTTAGCATAGGTTGTCCTGGAATTCTAGCAATTAATAATATTTGAAAAACAACCTTAAAGCTCTAAATATAAGTCTCTATTTCAGATATTTCTCTAGTTCTTCAAAAGCGCAGAACTGGGTATTATATAGAAAGGTACAACAAACTGTAGATGTTCTCTCCTGCAGGCCCCAACATGTTAGCTGTCCCACTATCAGACACTGTCATTGGGCTAATGAATGCAGCCTGTACTTTGGCATGTCCTGATAGATCCTAGCTGCTTACTGCAGTGGGTTCCTGAAAACCTACAATGACGTCTTTTGATGCTCTGTTGAGACAGGCTGTTCAATGCCATTAAGCAGGAAACCTGTGGTGTGTTCCTCTGCAAGATAAATTGGCTCGATCAAGCTAATGATCACACAGACTTATTAATAGCACTTAAGGACATAGCTTTTGCTGTGCCTTACTAGATTCAGCCTTCCTTCTACATGAAGATACTAAATCACATGCCTTCTATTGCTCAGGCTATATTTTGACCTCCTCTTCACTCTAGCTATGCAGGTTTGAGACCCCCATAAATATTATTATTACTACCCATAATGAAAAGAGAGGCTTCCGTTTATG